GAAAACATATGCAGACCCAACTTCATCCCATCACCAGAGTCCACCAGGAGACGGGGGATACGGGGGAGCTGATTTCATGATCTTAGCAGTCGTGTTTCAGGAAGACACTCAGCCTGGAGTTTCTAACTGAACTCCTGCCCACTGAGAAACTCAGGCTAATCCACTGCTCACGATCCGACGACAATCACTCAGGAACTGCTTACAGACAAGCGAGACACTGAGCTTGAAGCCCAAGGGAATGAAAAGATTAACAATGGCCCAAGAGCAGGCAGAAACGGTGCTGAGTACGCTCTGGGATGCTGGCACCTCACCGCTCACCTCTGCTACAGGGGATGACGGGAGGGGACTGTCCCTGCACGTTTTCAAGGAAGCATTACTCAGTCTTCATAGAAATCAGTCATGACAAAGAATTTGGGAAATAACGACCTTTGCCATACACAACAGACAGCATCAACAAATTTCCAATAGCCAATGGGAAGAAAAGAGCAATTCCACATCATTCCGAGGGGGCACATCCCATGCAGAGCACGCCAATCTCTGCAAGCACTTTTCAATTCTAGCTTCAAATGGCAAAACCACATCATCAATAATGAGGCCTTGGAACATAGCCAGATTAACAACATTCAAAAAAGTGCTTGTGGGCCTGGTGTTGTGGCCTAGCGGCTAAAGTCCTCACCTTGAACACGCCCGGGATCCCATATGGGTGCCTGTTCTAATCCCAGCAGCTCCACTTCCCATCCAGCTCCCTGCATGTGGCCCGGGAAAGCAGTCGAGGACGGTCCAAGCCGTGGGACCCTGCACCCGTGTGGGAGACCTGGAGGAAGCTTCTGGCTTCGGATCAGTGCAGCACCAGCCATTGCGGTCACTTGGGGAGTGAATCATTGGACGGAAGATCTTCCTCTCTGTCTCTCCTCCTCTCTGTACATCTGACTTTGTAATAAAAGTAAATAAATCTTAAAAAAAAAAGTGCTTGTTCCTACACAACGTCACAAGGAAGGACTTACACAGCCAAATACCCATGAAAGCCCTGTGTGGCTGGGAAAAGGCACGCACTGCCCCAGCGCAAATACACTTTAAGTGACACAAGAAAGCACCGCGACAGATCCCATGAAGCCAACCAAAACAGCAGGGAGCTTCGAGGGGGTTGACTTTGCATGCAGCCTAACCAAGTTCACGTCTCAGAAGAGGAAGCGAGGGCCCAGAACAGCTGTGCAAGGTGATCAGGTTGGACTGGAGAATAGCTAGCTACTCTTACTAGATCCGCTTTCTCTAAACAAGAAAATTGTAGAATAAGTCACTGACATTGTTAGCTGACTCGTCAAAGGAATGAAAAATCTTAGAAGTCTTACCTTCCCTGCACCGCCCACGATGGAAAGTCAAGTAAGCTAACTTGGTAGCAGGTCCCCCCCCAAAAGAACACAGGACCAAGAACCTGGACAGAACCACTGCAGCACATGGGGGTTCCTTCCCAGTCCCAGGGATCGCAGCTCATGAGAGATGAGGGGCTGAGCCCGTCAGCTCAGTACGACTGGGCCGGCTGAAGAGCCTCAGCAAAGCTGACTCTGCAAGCTGTGAAAGCAAGGGATCCCGCCCAGCACCTGCTGGCACCTGCATCCCACACAGGCATCAGTTTATGTCCTGGTTGCCAGTTTGTGTCCTGGTTGCAGCTCTTTGGGGAGTGACCCGGTAGATGGAAGACCCTTCCTCCGCTCCTTCCTTCCTTCCATTCTTTCTTTCTCTAGCCTTCCTCCTTTCTCTTCTTCCCTCCTTTCATTCCCTCTTTCCTTCCAGACCTATTTACTTTTATTGGAAAGGCAGATTCAGAGATGAGAGATAGATCTTCTGACCACTGGTTCACTCCCGAAGTGGCTGCAACAGTCAGCACTGAGCTGATCCAAAGTCAGGAGTCAGGAGCTTCTTCCAGGTCTTCCATGTGGTTACAGGGTCCCAAAGCTTTGGCCCATCTTCTGCCGCTTTCCCAGGCCACAAGCAGGGAGCTAGAAGGGAAGTGGAGCAGCTGGGACACAAATTGGTTACTATATAGGATCATAGCACATGCAAAGTGAGGATTAGGCACTAGGCTATTGCGCCAGGCCCAAGACCTTCTCTTTTGATCTTACCTTCTCTTCATAAATCTGCCTTCCCCTCCAGCTCCAAGGATGGCCCAAAGCCTTGGGATCCTCATCCATGTTGCAGACTCAGGAGAAACTCAGGCCTCAGGGGGCTTGGTCCCAGAAAGCCCCAGGGTTGCTAAGAACAAACCTCAATTGGTCTTTGTCATATCTATGCATTTGGCATCAACGTTCTTAAAGGTCAATAGCTCCAGAAAGATTCAGTTCTCCCAATAAGCCAAAGGGAAGATGTCATCTAGGGGTCAGGATAAGCAAGTAAGGGAATGCAGAGTTGACCAAAGATTCGGTGGGCTCTACCTGGCTTCCCAGACTGTTAAGACACATCACCACCCCCACCTCCCACCTCCTACATGACACAGACTGGGCAACCCAGAGCTGCTGGGCCTCGTTCAGTTCTCATTAGGACTTTGCTACTGAAGTTTGAGTCTTCTGGTGCCTTCTGAACTATTTCTAATGTGGCATGCTTACTAAAACTGTTAGGAGGAACAACAAATGCTGAAGTTGAAGCACAGTGACTTAGGTTAAAAGGTGTTTCTACTGTAAGGAGAAAGCATCCCCAAAATGGTTCAAGTCCTAGTGTGGCAAACTTGGATGAGTTTCCTTTCTTAAGCCGACAGCAAGCATATGTAACATGGTTTCTTCTTTTTTTCTTTTTAGAACTTAGTTATTTTTATTGGAAATGAAAAGTTATAAAGAGAAGGAGAGACAGAGAGAAAGATCTTCCATTTGCTGGTTCACTGCCCGGTAATTGGATCAGCTAGAGCTGAGCCAGGATCCAGGAGCTTCTTGTGGGTCTGCCACATGGATGCAGGTCCCAAGGTTTTGGGCCATTCTTGGAGCTGGATGGGAAGTGGAGCAGCTGGGACATGAACCGGTGCCAATATGGAATCCTGGCACTTGCACAATGGGAGGGTTAGCCAGTAACATGGCCTCTAAACCATACAATTTACAACATTCAGCAATCAGGCTAACCTAGTTTTTTATCAAACTTCAGAGACTACCAAACTTCTGAATATCCAATTTACATATTAATGAAGTCAGGGCTAAAGGCTTAAGCTTCAAAGGGAAAGATAAGAAACACAAGCTCTAGGACACAAAAATTCATCTTGTTTCACTACATTCTCTAAAGTGCCATGTAAACAAAATAGATGTAAAATCCCACCTTTATTCTTATTACATTACTAAACTGCTTATTTGCAGGTAAGTACTAAAACAGATGCTTCCAACCGCTTTAAAATAGCCTTAAAATGGATTATTTAGAAGAACCACAATAACATTCTACCATCCCAACAGCAAAACAAATTGGAAGCAATTAATCTGTCATTGAAAAATCACATATTGACTGATTCATGTTTATTCACAAGACATCAAAAATATCTGCCCAATCAATGACAAGAGATGGTTGAAAAATAAAATAAAAATGAGTCAGTGTGTCAAAGTGCTGGCCAAGCATTTACATTGTAACGTCCTGTAAGCCAGTGCTGGAGTTTACAAAGAGCAGTGAAATACAAGCAATGGCACAACCGGGTATGGACAAAGGCGAGGAGGCAGCAGAAGCCAGGAGTCTAATCCTACTTCAACCACTAAGGCTCCCGCTGAGCCCCCACTTGGCAGAGCGGATGGCAGGAAAGCTAATCCAGCAGGAACTACTTCGTAGATAGATCCCTGTGCAGGGCATCAGAGACTAAGTGAGATGAAGATGAGCTTTACTCATCAGTGTAGACTAGTGAGCAGCCCTTCATCTACCCACAGCTCATGAACACAAGCTGGACCCCGCGAGCAGGTGCGCCCACCGAGTCCAGCGCTCTGGTCACATGGGGAAAAGGGACTGTCTAACTGGATAGCGAAGCCAACGCCCTAGGGGCCAGCAAAGCAAGGGAGTCACTCAGTGTGAGGATTAAGTACCACAGCCAACAGGAGGAGTCATTCCGGGCCTCACAGAGCTAGACTTGGTGTCTGGGAAAGACCAACCAAGCCCAGGAGTGAACTGTAGGTGTCTTACAGTGCGAAGTGCTCGAGTGGGGACTGACAGTGTGTGCGTGGAAAGCTGCACTCTCCATCTTGTAAACTAACCCGTGCCATTTAGAAGAGCTCCACCACAAAGCAGCCACAGGAGCTTTCCTGGGCATTTCTCCCAAGACGCAGATGCCCCGAATGGCTATAGGCTGTCAGATACACGGGCAGCCCGAATTCCATACCATAAAAGACTTCTCCTCCCTCTTAAGCCCACACGGGGAGGAATTCATCTGAGAGCCAGCAGAAGCGCCCAGTTCCAGGAGTCCTTGGAATGCTTCTAAGTTAGCACCGACAGACTGAGTCTACCGACCCCAGGCTGAAACCCAGTCCGAGTGCTGACTTCTGCCTGGACAGGGCACCAGGAGTAAGACACACATCCTTCTGCTTCTTCTGATCTGTCCATCCTAGAGCCATTCTCGACCACTCGTCTATAGTTAAGCAGCTGAATGGGCAGTCTGGCTACTCCCCTTTGTTAAAAGAGCAACCCAGTTTGCAGGGTCGTGGCTCAGAGGTAGCAGCCTCCTTGCAAGATCGGCTACACTGCGATCAGCGCCCGTCCATCAGCCATTTTTATTAACCCGGTGAGTCGAGCTGTCAAGCCGCGTCCAGCTGGGTGTCACGCGGGAGTTTTGAAGCGCCGAGGCTTGCGGCCAGGTCGGGGGTCGAGAACCCTGAGAGCTCGCCCCGAGGTGCTCGGGCCGGGGGACCATGCAGCCCGGCCCCACCGCGCGTCCGGGTAAACTTGAGCGGGGGGACTCGCCCGCTGGGCCCAGGGCTCGAGGCCGGCGCCGCCCGGCTCGTAGGGGCCTCGGAGGCCCGGCCGGGGCGTCGGGCGGCGGCGACACGCCTCACCTGATGTAGGGGCTGGCGGCCGCCAGGATGTTCTTCTGCACCGGGATCTCCTCGCCGTCGAGCACCAGGTGCGCGTCGCAGAAGCGGGACTCCTCGCGGAAAGAGCTGAGCGCTCGCAGCAGGCGCGCGGCGTGCTGCGGGTCCGACACGGCGCTGCCCTCGGCCATCGCGCCCGGCCCGCCCCGACCCCGCGCGCGCCCCGGCCGCACACTCCCCGCGCGCGCACCCGCCCGGCCCGGCTCCCCGTGCTCCGAGCACCAGCTCCCGGAACGCGCCTGCGCCATCCCGTGGGCCCGGTCCGGCGCCTTTAAGGAGCCGCGGCGTGGCGTCATTTCTCCGCGACGCCCCCGCCTGTCGCCAGAAGCGGCCAATCAGAAGCCTCCTTTCTTCTATGGAAGGTTGGGTGCGAGTATAGGCACTTAATAAATACTTTCTGAGTCGTATTCGTTATTGTGTGTGTGTAGTGTTTCACCTGTGGCTTGTTGTTGGGGTACATAAACGATGGGAAGTTCACTACCAAAGGTAGCTACTGCTTGCTGATCGTGGAGTGCTGGCCTCGTTTTCAAGATTGGGAAGTCCTAAAATGGAGAGGCTCCAAAGGTCAGAATTATGGCCAGATACTGTTATCTCAGTGTGGAAGGGCTGCTTTACTGAAGTCACTGGAGCTGAGTGGGGATTAGTCAGTCTCTTCCGTTTCCCTGACGAAGGAAACACTGAGATGACGAGGTGCCCAGGCTCGCGGCGCATCTGTCAGAATAAGGCTGAGAGGCTCATGGGGGACAGGTAGCTCGCCTTCCCTTTCGCTGTCACCCCCACTGTCTTCCACATCGTCCACCACTCCATCTGCATGAATTCCTAGCCATCCTTCAAAAGCCAGCTCGAATGTGATCCTGAAGACACCTATGGCCACTTTCCCAGAAAGCCAGGCCATGCTTGCCATGCTGTACCACCTGTTGCATGTTGAAAAGCCTGGGCTCCTGCTGTCTGGGAGCACGGATGGAGCTGTGTCCCCAGGAGCTTGTGCAGTCACTGGTATTTAGTACGTGCACCCTAAAGGCTTCACAATAATCAGCTAGTGTCATCAGTAAATGAGCTGCCAGATTTGGGATGAGGTGGGTTCTGGGGAGCTAAGGTACAAATGTTCCCTCAGCTCGAGCTGGCTGCCCTGCGGGTACAGGCGCATGACACCAGATGTGGCAGCTGAAGAACTGCCAGAGATTCTGCAAGTACTCAAGTTTTTTCAACACGAGCAAAGTTCCCTTTGGAGAGCGAGAAAGCGTGGAGCTGCGGACAGGCTCCAGCTTCAGTTCATTCAGAGGCCAGGAGGAAGCCATGTTGGCTTGCCGAGAAGCATGCCAACACAAAGTGTGGGCTGGATTTGGGTGCCCAGCAAGGCTCCCCTGGAGGGCTTGGTTGTGGGAGGGGGAAGTTAGGAGGTGGAGCCTGCCTCCCACTGCTGGCAGGAGCCTCAGACTGCTTGGAAGTCTTTCTTGATATTGCTCAAACCCTGGACATTACTTACCACCATCAGAGTGGTGAATATAATGTTATTGTTCCCCCACATTCCATATGTATCAGAGATCAACTACCGTTGTTGTGAAACATGTCATCTAAGATTTGATAACATCCTGGCAGTTTCGTCTCAGACTTTTTTTTTCCCTTTTGTGATCTGAAGCCCAAAGAAGATGAACAGTAATCACTCATTCAACAAGTGTTGTTTAGACACCTGCTGTGTGATGATGCCGCAGGTACAGAAAGGTGAGAGCAGACGTCACAATGTGACTGGCATTGCAGAAATTTACGCTCCCTACACTTTCCCCCACTGCACGGGTCATGTAGCCTTTTTGTAGTCAGGGGAGAAGAAAACAAGTAAGCCATTTTCATTTGAAAAAAAAAAAAAGTTCTTTTACTTTGAAAAATGAGTCAAGAGACAAATGCCCTCGGGGCTTTAGGCTTTTATAATAACTGCAAGGAAGTCCAAGAACAAGAAAGCCTGCTTTGCAAGGAAGACAATAGCTTGACAACTTTTTGGAACTCTAATTTCCAATCCATTTTAGTGAAACCTGAGGTCAAGGCCATATACTGGACCCAGCAGGACCAAAGCTGACCCTGGCCCAAATCTCCAGTCTTCCTGTGCAGTAAACTTTTCCATGGCACCAACTTGGCTCTTCATAAACATTCATTTGGTGGAGACAGTCTCTTCTGATTCATTTTGAGGTAGTCTTTAGGCACTTTATTGGGCCAGTCTGTCACGTGTCCAAATCTAAAGATAGTTCTTTCCGAAAATCCCAAGTGCTTCCAAATTGCTGAGTCAGAGAATGCCTCAGTATTCATAACATGCGCCAGTTGGTTCTGTGTATTTACATCGCCGTCAGAGAAGCATCTGGGAACCCAGGGCACTAATCGAATTGTGACAATGCTCCTTGGAGCGAGCAGCCCTCTCTCACCCCAGGGCCCGACACTCACAGTGTGGGCTCAGGAAGTACCTGCTGCACGCTTGCTAATGGGGAGAAAGGGAATCTCCTGTCTGCTGCCCACAACTCCCATGGAGCCTGCAGCAGGTGTGTCTGGAAGGCAGCCCCCTGATGTCCCCAGCTGGGACTCTGTAGACACAGGGAAATAACCTCCTGTCTTCATCCCTGATGCCTGAGTGCTCCCCCCTGTTAAATGGCAGCACCAACATTCTCCCAGGGGCAGGAGCAGCCCTTTATTCTATTCAGCAAATCCTCCAAATCCAGCTACTTCCAGAACCCTCCACCAGTAACCTTCTGACTGGCATCTTTCACCTCTCCTGCAATAGCCTTCAGGGTCCTTCCCCCGCTTTCCTCTTTCTCCCTTAGAATTATTTCTCCCGGGCCTGGCGCAGTGGCCTAGCGGCTAAAGTCCTCACCTTGAACACACCGGGATCCCATATGGGCACCGGTTCTAATCCCAGCAGCTCCACTTCCCATCCAGCTTCCTGCTTGTGGCCTGGGAAAGTAGTAGAGGATGGCCTAAAGCCTTGGGACCCTGTACCCGTGTGGGACAACTGGAAGAAGTTCCTGTCTCCTGGCTTCGGATCAGTGCAGCACCAGCCATTGTGGTCACTTGGGGAGTGAATTATCGATAGAAGATCTTCCTCTCTGTATATCTGCCTTTCCCTCTAAGGTAATCAGGTTAAGCCACTTTCAGGTTTAAAACTGGGGGAAGAGGGTAGAGAAGGCACAGCCCTCCGCATGGCCTGTAGAGGCCCATGGAATGTGCCTTCCGAGGCCACATTTCCCACCATGTCCCTCCTCCAAAGCTGGCCTTGTTGCTCTTTTTTGAACAGATCTACCTTGTACTCATCGGAAGGCCTTTGCATGGGTTGGTGTCTCCTTAAAATCTCTTTCCTCACATCTCTGCTTGCTCTCTCATTGCAGTTACATTTGAGCTCAGAGGGTCTTACCTTCGGGGACAATGCTGCCCCAAGGCTGCCTCTCCTTTGTTACATGTTATCACTATCTGGAGTTATATATACTTATTTGGGGACTCTGTGTGTCTCCTCTAATTCTAGCACAGGTTTCAAGAGGCATGTCCATGAAAATTCAGTATATAAATAAAAGCTTTCCAGTCACACCCATTTAAAACAAAGCTGATAGGCCAGGGGGAAAACAGATCAAAAATACCTATTCCAGTAGCTGCCGCTTGGGCTATTCCCACCAAACCACCTGCTGTATCTTAAAGATTCTGTGGGTTTGTTTGTTTGTTTGTTTGTTTGTTTTGTTTTGTTTTCTAAGCAGCACTGTTAATATGGCTTTCAGAATAGCTTCATATAGTAGGCTTGGCTGCTCACCAATCAGAGCTTGCCAGGCCCCTGAACACCAGAAGTATCAATTAACTTGCTGTCTAACAACTTGCCTGGATTTTCCTGTCCTTTGCTTTCCAGGCCTCCTGACCACCCCAGCCAATGTACAGACAATGGGCTGCAATCCTACTTTGCCAGCCCATGAAAATATCCTTTGCTTTGACCTTATTTGGCTTTGACAGTAGCGTCCTGTTTTATTTATCACAGTGTCCCACAATGAGGCCTGGCACATAGTAAGTACCCAGTGAATAGGAAGTACTTTAAAAAGCTCATTAAGAACTGGAACTGAAAGGTAGGTCTATCGTTGGTGCCCCCAAAAACACTCCCTGAAGTTTTATATGTGATCATCAAACCATTTTTTGACAAATACATGTAAAACAATGATATGAATTTCAACTTTTTTTTTTGCCACCAAGATAAATTCATTTTTTGGTACCATTTTCCTTGAACGTGGGGAAAGAAACAAATGTCTTGCTTAAGATTTCTTCTGCTGCCTATGTGTCATTTCCACCTGGGAGGAAGATGACTTATTCCGAATGATCTCGCAGGACCTGCAAAGGAACCTCTGAACTGTTGACCAGGTAACAATGCCTGCCATTGGCTGCCCCGGAACTGCCTTCAGTCTAGGTCCTAGGGCCAGAACCTTCACTCTCCCCTTCCCAGGTGCTCTGCTTAGCACTTCTCACCCACTACTTTTAGTTTGGCTGTTGTATATTGTCTTAGATGAACTTAAAAAGTTTGTTCTCCCGCTTGAGTACCAGCCAGTCTACTGGATGTTTGAGCTTGTTTGTCTCCCGTAGGGTTTATGCCCTGTAAGTAATTCACCTGACCCTCAGACCTGTTTCAGTGTGTGTGAGGTCATCCAACTCCTTTAATTCACTGGATTTCTGAACAGCCTTCTGCAGGCCTCGTGGTCACAGCCGTGGAAGCTGGACCAGGAGACAGAATATCTTTAGTTTGTCCTCTTGAAGACTGGGGTAATCCTAGCAGTTTCCATAGAGTGAGTGGCTATGGAGACAGAATGAGATTATGCTGAGGAAGTGCCCACGTGGCCTCTGGCACTCAGCAGGTGTCCAGGAAATGCTATGCATTGGCAGCATAGTGACTGTCACCACTGCCATCGTGGGCCCTGCTCTTGGTGGCACCCTTGCCCAGTGCCCACTTGACTTTCAAGTACAAATCTAGTTTCTCCAGCTCTGCAGCCTGTGCCCCTTGAACCTCACCCTCGTCCTGCATCAGCCGCCTCCCTTGTTGTTGTCTCCAATGCTAATGCTGGGCTTAGGTGAGTGGTATCTGTTCTCTCACCTCAACTGACGCCTCCATTCCCCACCCCATACTGCCCCTTTTACTTCCTGCA